GGAGGGGCTTGCGTGGTCAAATGACCCTGAGAGCTATGTCGGCGGTAGCATAGCTACTGGTAGAGCCACCCATGGCGGACAGGTCAAAGGGGATGACCCAGACTAAAAGAGATAACCTGGTAGTCCACGTTGGGGGTTGGGCGAGAGGCTGACGACCTCTCACCGTAAAAAATACAAATGTCTCGAAATCTGGAATCAAGCCTCTGAAACCTCAACAGAATATAAGACGACAATTGGCAAAGTATATGGACTACTCTTTAGGTGCATGGAATGTGAAAACCCTCAATAAACTGGATGCCATGAAATCGGTACTAGAACAGATAGATAAGTACAATATGAAAATCACAGCCATACAGGAAATTAGATGGCTGGGTAAAGGAATCATGGACTTAAAGGAACATACTGTATGTTACAGTGGTAAAGCAGAAGGCAATAAGGAATTTGGTGTAGCCTTTGTAAGAGAACGGGAATTTAAAGCCAAATAATAGACTTTGAACCAATAAGAGAAAGAATTTGCACTTTGAGAATTAGAACAAAATTTTTCAATATGACATTGATGAACGTGCACGCGCCTACAGAAGAAAAAAAGTGGAGGTCAAAGTCTATTTCTATCAACAAATGGAAGAGACATATGATTCCATACCAAGTAATTTCATAAAGGTTATTTTAGGGGATCTTAATGCCAAAATAGGTAAGGAGAAGGAATACAGAGGAGTAATTGGGACAGAAAGTTTACATGATACAACCAACCATAATGGAATAAAATTAATAGACTTTGAAGAAAGTAAGAACTTGATCATCAGCTCTACATACTTCCCGCACCAATAAGTCAACAACAGACAATTTACTCACTCTGAGACAAATAACGGAGAAATGTTTGGAATTCAATACAGATATTTACATATGATTCGTAGATTTTAAACAAGCATATGATACAATAATAAGGAAGAAATTAAGGATGATTATGTTTACTTTTGGTATTGCAACAAAACTAAGTAGAATAATTATTTTAACCATGACAGAAATAATGAATCAAGTTAAAATTCAGAACCAGTTAACAGAATGCTTTAAGACAAATCAAGGATTAAAACAGGGAGATAGTTTGGCACCATCACTATTTAATTTGGTATTGGAATATATAGTGAGGAACTGTAATGTAGACACAAGGAGCACAGTGGCGTATAAACAAACGCAAATAACGGCGTATGCGCATGATATTATTACAGTATCGAGATCCCTAGGAGCAATGAAGGAGACATATAAAGAAATAAAAACCATAGCAAAAACAACCGGTCTAGAGGTGAATGTAAATAAAACTAAAATGCTGATGCAGTCTAGAAGGAATCCAAGGCAAACTGGAGAAATTAACACCGAAGGAGACGGGACAGAAATAGTTGAAGACTTCATATATTTAGGATCGAAATTCCACAAAATGGAGATGAAAATCATGAAATAACAAGAAGAATAAAACTAACGAATAATGCGTATTTCTCGTTACTATCAGTTTTTAGATCAAAGGATATACACTGAGCGATTAAAACAAAGATATATAAAACAATGATAAGACCGGTACTTTATTATGGATGTCAGGGTTGGACGCTAAACAAGAAAGAAGAATCAGTCATCAATTCATTCGAGAGGAAAATCCTAAGACGAATTTATGGACCAATAAGATAGAATGGGATATGGAGAATAAGATATAATAGAGTTATACAAATTATATAAGGAGCCAGAGATCTCAGTGACGATAAAGCTAAAAAGATTGCAATAGGCTGGGCATGTACAGAGAATGGATAAGGAGCGTATCTCAAAGAAAATATTATACAGTACAACAGGTGGTAGGAGACATGCTGGGAAACCAAGAACTAGATGGATTGATGCGGTGGAAGAAGATGCGAAGAAGTTAATGGGTGTAAGGAACTTGAAGAGAGCAACGCAAAGCAGAGAGGAATGGAGGGGCTTGATAAGGGAGACCAAGGCCCGACATCGGGCTGTTGCCTAGCAACGGGTCTACATGTCACAATATCCAGGTGACACAACTACACACGGATCCTGGTAAGAAGTAGCCTACATGGTCACTTTATCCCATTGAGCACAATGAAAACAAAGTTACATAATGCAGTGTGGAACATTGACTGTAGTCTGTGCAGATCCATCGAGTTAATTCGAGGTGATGACTATAAAATCTAGAATGACCCCTCATGAACATATACTGTATATAAGTTTGTCCGTTCACATTAATCTACACGCCATATCTGTGAGATTTTCTCTTCTGCACGTCATGCAGCAGGCAGAAAGTTATGGCTTACTTCAGTTTCAATGTTCGATTCATATTGTCGTTGGAAGTCTATGATCATTTTTCCTCTGGGTCCGTATGACTGACTAGATGGTTAGGTGGAAGAGTTCATAGGTCCAGCTGCCCGTTCAATCCAAGCCATTCCTCATCCTTACCCGAACTGGATGGTTCATTATCGTGTTCACAAAAATGCTCCACTGAACTCTACCCTGAGAGAGTTGAAACAATTCCAGAGTTCTTTATCCGATTTCTCCAGATCCATTTTAATATTATTCTCTAATCCACAATTAGGTCTCAAAGCAGCCTTTCCTTCAGGCTTCTCGATGGAAATTTTGCATATATTTCTCATGTCTCCTAGTGGTCTAGATTTCGTATCAGGGTCTTAGGGATCCCGGTGTCATCATCTTAGGTATATTTAATATATATGATATTTCGCAATTCGGCTCTGTTCACAAGTTGTTTCCTGTCGTTATATCGACATAATTCTCTTTTATCCTCACGTTAAGCCGGCCAGACGGGAAAGAACTCGGAACCTTTTGAATGTCGTATTCATGTTCTGAGTTACCCATTACTCCACAGTGATTTTTATTTTCATTATTGTTAGTGGGGTGAGACTGAGTTCGTTGGTACTCCGGCCACTACTGGTGTCTTGTATCTGACCAAAATGATAGATGATGGTGATTGTGGAGCAACTTATGAATGAAGATTGGCATGGGAAAGCGAATTACTCGGAGAAAACCTGCCAAACTGCCATTTTGTCCACCATAATTCCTACATGAGAGACCCTGGCTCGAACCCGGGACGTCGAGGTTGGAACCTAACGACTAACCACTTGAGCTATGGCGCGGCCACACTACAGTGTTGATCGAGATGTATAGGGACTGTTTTCAATCGCAGACGAAAATAAAAGAGTTTTCCCTAAAACGTAACCATGAAGCTAGCTGTCAACCCGACTTCACAGGAGAAGCGCACAATTCTTCTGCCTAAGTGCACGCTCGGAAAAAAACGATACTGAATAAAGAACGTAATATTATGCCTTGTACTTAAGTATGTAATAAAGCACAAAGCTATGAACTAGTAAGCGGGAGTGGAGGTATAGCTCCACCAATCTTCATCTCGGCACTAGATGGAGGTGAGTTGTAGGTCAGCTTTATGCCCCCGACGCCTTATGCCTCGGAATAGAACCCGCGGTACTCATTGGATACGAGGCTGTGTGAGCCCGGAGCCGATCTGAACGATGTGAATAGGAGAGAACTCTTGCCTCTGCCGGAAATAGAATCCCGGTCATCCAGATCCCAGCCTAGTCTCTATACTGACTACGCTATCCCGACATCACTTACTGAAAAAAATAAAATAAAATATGTACGTATAAGATGAAAACCAGTCATTAAATATGCAGAATAAAACAGGAGACCAATACTTCAAATATATTGGTATAATTTCAACATATCAGTACATTTTACAGTTTTCTTTATTACTTGTTGGGGTGGGACTAAGTCCCTTGTACTGCGATCACTTCTGGCCTATTGTACCAGCTCCAGATGATAGGTGGGGGTGACTGCGGAACAATTGGTTGAATGAAGATTGGCAGGGGAAACCGAAGTTCTCGGAGAAAACTGGTCCAGCCCCACTTTGTCCACCACAAATCCCACTTGAACAGACCCCGGGCTCGAACCCCGGCCGCCGCGGTGGGAATCCAGCGACTAACCGCTTGAGGTATGGCGCGGCCCACATTTTACCGTTACTCTTGTGTTAATATTGGGACGATAAGCCGTCCAGTGTAAACAGACTGAGATTAAATAATCAGTTACATACAAGACCTCATACGTTACTGCGGTTCGGAACCACCTCAAGAGCCTCAGCACTGAAACGAACATGCTTTACAATCGCTGTAGATCTGAGCATGATCATAAGTTACACAGTTGTACATTGTAAAATAGGTTAAAGTTGTGTATGTTTAAATATTTTCACTAAAATTCCCTGTTGTATGCTGTACCTTCTAACTGATAATTCTTTCCTCCTGTTGCTTGTTAAATATCTGAATGTTCTTTCGGCTACATGAAATGCCAGTGTGTGTACTGCACAAAATTTTTAACCTATTTTTAGGTCATACCTGTAAAACATATCATTATGCTAAGAGGTACAGTAATTGTAAACATGTCCCTTTTACTCTTGAGCCTCTGAAAAGGTCCTCGAAGGGCCGAAACTTAAAAGGGCGTGTAAATAGTTGAATTACTTTTTTAAACTGATTTACACTATAAGGTATTCTGTCGCAACATCCTGCAACAACAGCTACACACAGCACAAAGGAAAGAAACCAACACACCAAAAAGTATACACCAGATCCACAACATGTGTGTACAACAAAAGTAACCATGGCATGATAATCTTAAAAAAAATGAAATATTTTATAAACATTTTACATTACTCTTAAAGAGCAAAATACAACTACATAACAGAGCGGCAGTTTTCATCTATAATCTTATACACTTGATAATGGCCAGTTAGGGCGAAACATTTAGTGTTGAATAAATAATAATAAGACACAAAGAGCTTAGAACTGTGAATTTTGATATGTGAACGAAGTTACCCAGAGACTGTGAAGTGAGAGTACACTATAAGACTTGTCATTTGAAATGTTCAAGTCACCGTGCGGTCCATTTTGATGTGCTGGTGTGTGTATGCTGTGTTTGCTATGTCGCAGCCGTACAAAACGAGCGTCAGCCGAGGAACACGGCCACGATACGACCAGAAGCTCTGCTCGAGATGGACCAGGAGAGGGCGCTGCGTGAAGCTGCCGTTGCTGTTGGTGTATTTGGGTGTGTATTTTTCGTCTTTCTTAAATTATAAGCTCATTTTGAGATGTAAATTAATTCTGTATACCATGTTTTCTTTTTATATTCTATTCGACTCAAATTATTTAGAACTGCTCTGATAATCTGTGGATTTCGAACCTTGTTTGGCTCTTATAGTGAAGTACGTCTTTCTAGGAAATTTTCGTGGGTTCTGTATCTTCTCCCTTCCCACAGAAATATTAGTGACTAAATTAAACAAAAAGTCTTTTACATAATTTAATTTAAATGTAAAGGAAGATATCTTGATAAACATGACAGAATTCATTTTAACATTATATTTATGCTATATATTTTTGAACGGTGGTTAGGCCCAACGGAATCATAAACGTTTGCAATGTAATGAAGCGTTACGCGTGTGAGCTAATATCACAAAATAACTGTGAAAATTAGTGACTTTATACAGGGATCATACTGAAAGTTCTTTACTGTCACAGACCAATTTCTCAGTCGCTAGGAGATACAGATATTCTTCCTTACACCATAACAAAATAAATTCCGGAACAGAGTTGAAACCATAAAGTTAAAGGCTCAGGATATGATAACGTTCTCTGTTTGGGGCTACCGTCACGTTAGGGACGGTGATAAATACATAGGGATAATCGTGAGAGCGAGCCTTAATTAAAATGAGACTGAAGAGGTTCTGAGAAAACACATCTCCATTGTTAATTTCGTCCACTAAGGATCTTAAATGAAGGCATTTGACACCGAATTCGAGTCTCCGAAGGAAAAAACCGGCATCTACTCGTCTGAGCTTATGGCACGCTTATTTGCTATGAAATACTTTCAAGATAAGTCTCATGGGCAAACCCGTAATCGGAAATACCAGTTTATTTCACAAATTAATTTCTCATATCTCGTGTATGCATTAGATCCAGTTCATGGGTGTACCTGATCCTCGGTTTTTGAATGCAGGGCTTCTGAACCCTAGAGATGATGCCAGAATTCAGGAGAGGTTGGTGTCCGAAAAATATGTTCTGAGACAAGAAAAGAGCAAAGTTTTGGGTTCTAATGACGTGTGGATTTGTTAAGACATTTGTTATGGATATCATAGCATCGCATGACGTAGCATAACTATATAGAATAATGAATAGGTAAGGATGTGGAAGAAGTCGATCATACCTTCACACATTTTATGTATTTCATTTATTCGTGCAAATAGTAATTTTGTATTACTTTTACTTTACACTAAGTTCCTCACGCATGCCAATAACCGCTTTGTAGTATAATTAACGATGCTGTCAACAACACAGAACATATAATGTTCTATGCTTTTATGATAATTAATAATGAATGAAAAGGATTTGGTAGGGGCAGCCGTGGACTAATTTAAGAAATCAACCTGGAATTAGCCTGCAGGAAGTGAGGAAAATCACGAAAATCCCACTCAGGAGAGAGTACTGACCAAGATTTGAAGCGGTACCTGCTCAATAGAAGACAGGAACGTTACTGCCTGAGCACGCTTGCTTGATGCCAGTGTTCATTACCTCCTAAAAATTATACTGGTTACATTAAGAGAAACGTCTTCAGTTATACGGGTGAGCCGATAAGATTAGAGCAGGCTAGAAGGTTACAATGGGCAGGGCAAACAGCCACGATGAAGAGATAAGGAATATGTACAGGTTCTGGTTGGAAATCTCCTTGGAAATCATTACTGAAGTCCGAAGGGGGGAGTGGGATATGACATTAAGAAGGCTCTGAAGACGAATCGATTGTAAGGAGAAAGCTGATCTGACTTGCTTCGATCGTGTCTAGTGACTGGTCTTTGGTATTAGTGGTGTTAAACCTTCTGAGTTTATTACCAGAGACTTGGTTAATTAATTTGGCTTTACAAAATATTAACCCAATACAATTCTGAGAAAGCACACTAGAGGAACCTTATATTTCACACCATGAAACACGCATTTGTCAAATCATCAGACTTGTTTTCCTCATAAGCCTTGCGATTAACCTAGATATGATTATGAGGGTGATGAAACTAAATTATAATTTGAATTTTCCAAATAAAATTTTGGATATTAATATTGATTTAAAGCGGTAAATCACTTCCAAATCAGCAGCCGTCGTATCTCCCCTTACCTCTTCACCAAGTCACATTCTACCAATATTAGCAAGCATCTGCATAATCCTTGCAATATAACATGGAACTTTATACCACATAAACCAACAACCCGAATCCCTACACACGTGCCTTTTTCAAAAGCTCTGTAAGCCAATAGCAACATAGCGAATCAAACTATACTAAAATTATTGGATACACATTCCGTGGTAGCGTTTGTTGTATTGTTCACAGGAACAAGTGACCTACAATGAATTCCCATTTTGCATTATGCCATGTTTTTACATTTACATTTTACATAAATAATTTAAAAGATAACTCTTCATATAACATGTTCTACATACCATTTACTTCAATAGTTTATGATTTTATATTTTAGCATCCTATTGCATTGATACCGACCGCTTCTGTGGTCTTGTGGTCAGAGTTCCTGCCTACAGATCCAGAGGTCCCGTGTTCGATTCCCAGTACTACCAGATTTTCTGAGAAGTAGTGGGTCTGGAACGGGGTCTACTAAGCCTCGTGAGGATAATTGAGGAGCTATTTCGAGGAAATTGAAGCTCCGGTATGGAAAACCGAGATTGACGACCGTAGGAATCCGTTGCGCCGACCACGCGACAGCCTCTATCCGCAAAAGTTGGCACTAAACTTCGCCGAAAAGCGGCGGTAGCTCGGTCGGTATAGTTCGCTTGTAGACTAAAACCACGGAGTCCGTTCTTTATTTGTTTTTGTTTGTTGTTGCATTGATGCATCACTCATCCATTTGTTTCCATCTCTAATGCAAAATAAAATTTTATTTTAAAACGTCATCACAATCACATATAAATTCCTTAAATTATCATTAAAATCACATTTTATTTTACTATTAAAACATGTTTCGGCTCCATAAGGCAATTCTCACGCAACTGCTAATTGATCGAAACCGCTGCATTGCGTCAGCTCATGTGTCAATATATTACGTGTTGTTACTACACGTCATCATTTGAGAATGCATGCCCACACTTCACTCACGCTACTGTCATATTGCGGCGTCCACGCTCTGTTCCTTTTGTGCGTGGCTGTCCCAAATCTGACTTGTATCAATACAAAGGATACACGCCCGACTATTGAGAGCTACGCACAAAAGGAACAGAGCGTGGACGCCGCACTGTGACAGTAGCGTGAGTGAAGTGTGGGCATGCATTCTCAAATGACGACGTGTAGCATGTAATATATTGACACATGAGCTGACGCAATGCAGCGGTTTCGATCAATCAGCAGTTGCATGAGGCTGGCCTTATGGGGCCGAAATACACGTATGTCACAAAAGTAAAACAAAATGTGAGTTCAGTGATATTTTANGTGTTGTTACTACACGTCATCATTTGAGAATGCATGCCCACACTTCACTCACGCTACTGTCATATTGCGGCGTCCACGCTCTGTTCCTTTTGTGCGTCGCTGTCCCAAATCTGACTTGTATCAATACAAAGGATACACGCCCGACTATTGAGAGCTACGCACAAAAGGAACAGAGCGTGGACGCCGCACTGTGACAGTAGCGTGAGTGAAGTGTGGGCATGCATTCTCAAATGACGACGTGTAGCATGTAATATATTGACACATGAGCTGACGCAATGCAGCGGTTTCGATCAATCAGCAGTTGCATGAGGCTGGCCTTATGGGGCCGAAATACACGTATGTCACAAAAGTAAAACAAAATGTGAGTTCAGTGATATTTTAAGGAATTTATATGTGATTGTAATAACGTTTTAAAATAAAATTTTATGTTGCATTAGAGACGGAAACAAATAGATTAAAATTGCGTTAAAATTAACAATTTCATAACTAAATAATATACTATGATATTATTATTTCATGCATATATTAAAAATGTAAAATTCAATTAATTATAGTGTATAAATTTTGTATTCATCCAATTAAACACCGACGTAGTGTTATCTATAAATGTGATTGATTATTGGGAACAGACAAATGAGGTGTCATTAGTGATATAAATGGTTCGAATTTTGGACATCAAACTGTGACGTAAAACTACATAATTCACTATTGTAAGTGATTAATAAACTGCATTAAAAATTCACACACGTCCCCTGTGATGTGATATAATAGGACTGGGACCATGCATCATTATTTAGGGCTGCTAGATTTTCGATTTCAAAATACGAGTCAAAAACATTTTAAGGTTTAGGCGAAATAATGCTCTGAACATAATAGGTCTGATAATTAGTGCGCCTACCTTAAAGCTGGGCTTGGCTAAAACAGAAAACCATAATTGGGCATTAATGAAGCCATCTGAATCTTTGTTAAGTTTTGAGTTTTTCAAGGCGATGACTATGAAGAAAGTCGTCTTTTGGGATCTGGCGCCGTGTATTCTTGGTTTTAACCGACGTTTCGGAGGAACATATCGCCTCCATCTTCAGGGCAGTTGAATTGCGTTGCGAATACAGAGAGCAGCTGCAGCTACTGCTCTCTGTATTCGCAACGCAATTCAACTGCCCTGAAGATGGAGGCGATATGTTCCTCCGAAACGTCGGTTAAAACCAAGAATACACGGCGCCAGATCCCAAAAGACGACTTTCTTCATAGTCATCGCCNGAATTTTGTTCACATTGTCATAACTCAAAGATTATTCTCATTAAATCCGGTCTTCATGAGCTTCTAAGTAATTGTTTTCAAGAGCTTTACACAACTGAATTCATGTGACCCCATTTGGACTACTTTACTCCGTGGTCTTTAGTCCACAAGCGAACTATACCGACCGAGCGACAACCGCTTGTCGGTGAAGTTAGTGCCATCTTTTGCGGATAGACGTTGTCGCGTGGTCAGCGCAACGGATTCCCACGGCCGCTAATCTCGGTTTTCTAGACCGAAACCGCTAATTTTCCATTAAAGTAGCTCCTCGATT